CATCGGTACTACATAAACAAGTCTGCTCGTGGCAATCACCATATTTTTAATCTTATATGCAAATATTAAAAATTTTTGGCCCCCTTTATAGTTAATCCTGTTTATATTCAAAAATAAACCAGAGCTAATATCTTAATACTATGGAATTTAAGCGGGATTCTGTAATGTAATGTACAGAACGACATCGTTCAATGGCGTTTTATGTGTCCCTAGTTTATTGCCAGTAAGGCGTTTTAGGACTTCCTTGCTTTCTTTAAATCGGTAGATACCATAACCATTGGCCCGGTTTAATTGCATAGATTCTTTGTTTAGGAGGTTGGTCAGTTTAGGATGAATGATGTTTTCTTGACCTTTCTGGTGGTTGTCATCACTAAGTTATGTTTTTCAAGTTTCATATGCTACGCTAATCTTGACATGCGATTTTAACCCGCGAAACTAATGTTTTCTGCTGCATACTGCTGACGAGTGCATTGGCTACATTCTTTTGTTCTAAGATATGATAGGTAATGGATGTGAAGTGTGAAAATTTACAAAATGGTGAATTTCCTCTGACAATTCTACATTTAAATGACGACATTGTGCCTGAGATCGGTAGCACTGTTGTTATTAGCGAAAATCAGTCCGAAAGTGTTTGCGACTCACCTTCTAAAATATGGACAGGCAAACGCGTGCTTTGTTCCTTTTCAGCTAATAAGTAAGATTTAATTTTTTACTAACATAAACTGTTTTAGCGTTGATCTAGATGATTATCCTTTCCATGCTGTGACGTATGGAGAACCAGGGGAGTTATATGGGTTGCCCTATAATGTATTGCCTTCGATTAGTTATTACAACTTCGTATAGGACCATAATTATGCAAAGGTGTGGGAGGAGGAGTCGAATAATGACAACCAACTGGCCTTACTAGCTAAAGTTGCACTGTCCGGGAAGGAGGGAACTGACGCTGAAATCCAACGGTCGGGTTCATCTGGTAACGTTGGTACTGTCTCGAATTCCACTGAATTGGTTCAAAGCTCTGGTCACCGGGGCTCGAATGTGCCTCATGTGACAATTATCAAAACCCCATTCTTGAATCAAAATTATCAAACGTCCTCATCGATTCAGTCGACTCTTTCTACGCCTACTTGTAAGGTTGCGACATCGAATGGTCGAACGATACTTCTTACGCCAAGTCGCGGAAATTTGGGGGCTTCTGTCCAGATTCATCGCGTATCCTCTGTTAACACATCTCAGGTCCTTCTGAGGGCTGATTTTTCTTCTGGTGACGGCGTCTTCAATGGGATTTCGTCCACCCTGAATGGTTCTATCCGCTGTATTTGCGGCTACAATCGTGACGACGGTTGCCTAGTTCAGTGCACCAACTGCAAGTATGTTACTGGTCCACCCTTTCGCTTGACTTTTGGCGTGCCTAGCCGCGCAT